TTCATCACAATAGATCAGAATATTACATTGAAAATGTAGGTTCTAATATGAAGACTGGCATGCATGAGTAATCCCAGAATGCTTTGGGCCATACTCCACTATATATATAATGATCATTGTTGTTGTTCACCAGAGCACATACTAATTCTTTCACGTCTCTTAGTGTAGAGTAAGCAAGGACGTGTGCCAAGGAAGACACATGGTTCCTCTGCTCTGGAATGGGCCGGGTTTTGTTCCCTGCATTTTGATGATGCGTCTTTCCATGTTTTCCACATGGAATGCCTCTGGGGACAACAAAAATGCCTTTAATTGAAAGGCCCATGTCTTTACCAACCCACCCTCGAGGCTCCGGTACTAAAACAGGAACCGCTGCCCACATCAAACCGCTGACCTGCCTTACTGTGGGCTGAAATTTGTGCTATCTTCACGAGCCCCACCAATGCTCCTCTTGGGGGCGGCAGGTATGGTTTCCATCACTTAAGAAGTTCGAGTTCAACTTCATCAGAAATGTGCTGTCAGCAGGATCTCGTAAAGCTTTATGATGTTTTAACAGAAGCAAGTCACTGCATCGCATGCAGAGAGACTTGAAAAGCCCGGGGGAAAGAGGTCATTGTGTAATGATCGTCATATGTGGCTGCTTTTCACCTTTCACGAGGTTCATATAACCATGACAGGCACCAACCCTACAATCTAGACCAAGTATTTTTATAAGGTCTTGTTTACTCAGTCTTATATCATAGTAAACTGATCCTAATGGTTTAAAGACTCTGTGAAGTCTAGAAAAAGACAACTGACATTTATGGACACTGCTTTATGTTTATGATTTCTTCATGACTTGCTGACACACACACACACACACACACACACATATATATAGCTGTAGTGCAGAGATTTGAATAATGTATCAGCCTCTATGTTAACTGTCATAATCTCTGCATCCTAAATGTTCTCACTGTTTCCAGGCATGTCGGGATACTGGATACTGAACATATGCACTGATATTAGATAAGGATGTAACTGAGCTCTGTTTTCTCTCTCTCTCCCATTGAAAATTTGCCTTTTAAGCCCCTCTGTAGTGCAGATATGAAATACTCTCCCTCAAAGGTGACTGCTTTAGACCTCTGCAGTTGTTCCCCTGCATACCGCAAATAACCCCAGTGTGCCAGTGCCTACTGTAATGCTACTATTAAGATGTATATGAAAACATCGCTCAGCACGTGTTGCATTAATGCGTTCTTTGTGCCATCTGACCATGTGTGCCTGTCAGTCATGCGTATCATGATTCTGTAATTTAAATAAGACGATGAAGGAACATCTGGCATTAAAATGATGGGAAATCCCCCTCAAGCATCTGTGACGCTTATTTAGTTACAAAATAATAACAAATATGATATATGTCAAATATGATATGCTGCATTCTTGTCCATTGACTTTATTAAGTGCATTTTTTATTTGCCTTTAGGTTAGTGCTTTTAAGTGTTTTTAAGTTATAATTTTGGCAATAAATGGGCCATTTTAGGTTCTAAAACCTAAAACCTTTTTTTGATATACACATGTACATATATGTATATACACATATTGAAAATATTGATGAAGTATATTTATGCATATATTGTGCATACTATACATATATAAATATAATAAATAAATAAATAACAAATAAATAAACATACAGTATATACAATTCCAGAGAAGTTGGGACATTTTGCAAAATGCAATAAAATCAAGAATCTGTGATTTGACAAAAGTACAAAGAAAAGATTTCCAAAGTTTTCACTGACCAACGTAAATGTATTTTGTAAATATGAACAAATTTTGATTTTGATGGCTGCAACACACTCCAAAAAAGTTGGGAAAGAGGCACGTTTAACACTGTATCACATCAACCTTCCTATTTATTACAATGTTTCATTGTTTGTGAATTGAGGATACTAATTGTTAAAGTTTTGCAAGCAAAATTTTTGCCCAGTCTCACTTTGCCCAGTCTCACACACAAGATTTCAGAAGCTCAGCAGTTTGTGATCGTCACTGTCTGATTCTCCTTTTCATGACTGGTCATACATTTTCAACTGGAGACAGATCTGGACTGCAGGTAGGCCAGTCTAACACATTCACTCTGTCTCTATGAAACCACGCTGTTGTAGCACATGCAGAATGAGACCTGGCATTGTCTTGATTTAATAACCATGCCATAAAACTGCCATAAAGTCTTGAGACATGTTTTTAAAAAGTTGAACTTACATTCATTTTCCATGGCTTTCTAAACATGCGGCTCTTTTGTGCGAGACGCGAGTGCAACGGTGATAGATGTCCCTCTAGAAAATGTGATAAATATGCATTCTGTGTGAACAGTTTTGTTTCGGTTTTGACGTAAACAACATCATCTCCGCATTAATGTTCTTTTTTCCCCGCAATATTTTGAATGAACAACGTAGCAGAGCTGCATCTAGTAGGTTCAACTGGATAGGCTAACAAAAGCATTAAAATGCAATGACACTTACATCGTCGTCGCATTTCATGCACCACTGATAAGACTGCCTGATGCACACCTAAAATTTAAATGCAACATTTTGCATTCAAATGTGGATTTTTATTTTAAATTCGACGAATATTCAAAATTCGAATTTTTTTGACAGCCCTAAAAAAATGATGAGACATGATCCAGCTTTGCTTGCAAAGACTGAGATGCTCCTTTTATACCCAAACATGATACCTTGATCGATTACCAATTCACCTGCTTACTGCGAGCTGTTTCAAAACAGTTTAACGAGGATATTCAATAACCTTTTCACTTTTATTTTGCCTCTGTCCCAACTTTTTTGGAGTGTGTTGCAACCGTCAAACACAAAATTTGTTCATATTTACAAAACACATTTACGTTGGTCAGTGAAAACTTTGGAAATCTTTTCTTTGCACTTTTGTCAATTAAATAAAATTTTAAAGAGAATTAACAAATCCCAGATTCTTGATTTTATTGCATTTTACAAAACCATCTCGTAGGTTCAACTGGATAGGCTAACAAAAGCATTAAAATGCAATGACACTTACATCGTCGTCGCATTTCATGCACCACTGATAAGACTGCCTGATGCACACCTAAAATTTAAATGCAACATTTTGCATTCAAATGTGGATTTTTATTTTAAATTCGACGAATATTCAAAATTCGAATTTTTTTGACAGCCCTAAAAAAATGATGAGACATGATCCAGCTTTGCTTGCAAAGACTGAGATGCTCCTTTTATACCCAAACATGATACCTTGATCGATTACCAATTCACCTGCTTACTGCGAGCTGTTTCAAAACAGTTTAACGAGGATATTCAATAACCTTTTCACTTTTATTTTGCCTCTGTCCCAACTTTTTTGGAGTGTGTTGCAACCGTCAAACACAAAATTTGTTCATATTTACAAAACACATTTACGTTGGTCAGTGAAAACTTTGGAAATCTTTTCTTTGCACTTTTGTCAATTAAATAAAATTTTAAAGAGAATTAACAAATCCCAGATTCTTGATTTTATTGCATTTTACAAAACGTCCCAACTTCTCTGGAATTGGGGTTGTGTATATATATATATATATATACATATATATACATACACACACACACACACACAAACTGATACTTTATAATTTATTTATTTATATAAATTATATATAGTGGGTAAAATAAGTATTGAACACGTCACCATTTTTCTCAGTAAATATAATATAATAATATATTTCTAAAGGTGCTATTTCATATCAACAGCACCTTTAGAAATATATTTACTGAGAAAAATGGTGACGTGTTCAATACTTATTTTACCCACTATATATATATATATATATATATATACTGTATATTTGCATAATGTCTACAGTATATATACTGCATTCTGTACAATAGTGATAGTGGTGTAGCATGAAAAGAAAATGACAAACAGAGAAAGATATATGAGATAAAGGAAAACATCGATAGTGGAGGGTGAGATGCTGGGTGGATAAGGAGACAGAGAGATGAGAGCAGTGGGGGAAATCAGGCTGTTTTACTAGTCCGCTGGTGGTTGTAACATGGCCTGTGTGCAGCGCTGATGTTTGGTCTATTTAAAGCAGCAGTTCATCCAGCGTGTCAAACACTGATCTATAATCCCACAGCAGTCACAGTGCTGCTTAAAATCAGATTTCTCCATAATAACAAGATCTTTGTCGACTCTAATGCCGCCTGCGCTCTGTCATACAGACCCCCGAGGGATCCATCTGTAACCCCTGAACTGATGTCTGCCTTCTGACTCTAGCTAATGCCCAGAGATGGTTTCCAGCATGGACATCACATTTCTCATCCCTTTGCATTTCAGTGAAACTTAAGTTTCGCACAGTTTAACTTAATTGTAGCTTTCAACAAAGTATGTTCACTACTGGTCAAAAGTTTGGAATAATTACCGTACAATTTTTTTAAAATGTAATTTCTTTGAAAGAAGTCTCTTATGCTCACAAATGCTTTTTTTATAATTAATATGTTTATTATTATAATATATAATTATTATTATCATTATATTCTTATCAAAGTTAATGTTATATTAATATTATAATAAGTTCATATACATACACATTTATAAATATAATAGTATATCTAGACAAAACAAGATAGAATTTTAAATGTTTTTATTTTTTAGTTATTTTTTCAGACATATTTTGAATGAAAGATATTTATATTTTTAAATTGTATATATTACTTTGATAAAAAAAATTGAGATCTATATATGATATTAAACTGTAAATATTGAATATTTAAATAATATGTAAAGGAAAGTAAGTTGGACTTCATTGTAGCTTTTCATTTCAACAAAATGTATGTGTGTGTATATACATTGTATATAAAATATATTTTTATTATAGTTATTTATATTTATATATGCACCCAAGCTTTTTTCTTGCTGTGATATATTTTCCGCATACGTCTTGCTTTCCTCAGCAGTTTGTGTCTGACTAGTTCCTTTTGGCTTTTTGGTTCCTCTAGGGCACCATTTTCCTACCTGGCAACAGAGTCACCGAACATCCCAGCAATGGGGATGAAGGCGGAAAGTTCCTTTTTGAAGTCATCCCAGGTAAGGAGAAACCTTTTTTTTTTTACCCTGGCTGTTTTTGCAATGCAGTTCCTGTAGCTTTCATGATGGGACCACAGTGACCTCACTCGCTGAGTAGAGGTCTTCAAAGACATTCATCAGAGCTAATGAGAACAGATCGACGCTGGGCACCTCGCTGACAAACACAGCTGAATCCTGATGCTCCAGACACAACATATCACAGGAAATCTGTGTCATTTCAGTGGAACGGTCTCTTGCATTTGTAAACAGTGCTCATTTATAAATCTTCTAGGAATCTTGTCATGTGAACCAACCCATGTGTTTTCAAATGGATCTCTCTTTATCCATGTTTGTGGGTAATTTCTTTTCTCCCAAATGTAGTTTAGTGATAAATGACGCTGGAGCTGCCGTCTGCTGTAATTAGTTTACAGATCACACTCTTCTCTCTCTCTTCGGGCTCTGGTTATGTTTGGAGAGGGTTCAGATAAAACGCAGATGTCCCTCTCATGTGCTGGATGATGAATCACTGAGGACAGATGAGTGCTTGAGGAGCAACAGAAGAGCAGCGCTACTTCCTGTTCAGTTCTGGGGATCACTCTGATAACATACACACCTGAGCTTCAAACTAAATAAATGACTGAAACAGAAATAACAAGAGACACCTGCTTTCTAGCAGCTGGAACTGTGGCAGCACACACTCCTACCACACTATACGGTATCAACACGTTATATAGGGGCTACAAGATTTGACCACCTCAATGTATCTTGCGATTTTTACACATTTTGACTTTTAAACTGAGCTGTGGCAACAATTTGAACTACAAAAATGTGCTTTTTCAATTTGTTTTAATCAAAAGTGGCCTGTCCAAAAAAACATTGCAAAAAGACAGAAGCACACAAAGACAAAACATAATCAGTATAACACATTAACATTAAATTATGTGAAATGTGATACAAAACACCATAATGAACATTATTCATAACAAAGATGAGAAGACAAAACTTTTTCAATAAAATATATGTTATGTGTTACGCAGGGACTTCTGGGAATGTGGGAATTATATGATAATTCAGTTTTTACTTTCAAAAAACAAATTTGACCAATTTGAGTATTTTACAGTAAAATTATTTACAAATTACAATGCAATGTTACTATTTACAATTTTTCACCATGTATGGTAAGGTAACTTACCATTAACCAATTAACAGATTTTATACTATATCTTTAATGAAATATGTATATTGCCACTTCTGAGAGGCTCTTTTTATACCCAATCATGTTGCCAATTGACCTAATAAGTTGCAAATTGGTCCTCCAGCTGTTCCTTATATGTACATTTAACTTCTTTCCGGCCTCTTATTGCTACCTGTCCCGAAATTTTTTGCAATGTGTAGCTCTCATGAAATCCAAAATGAGCCAATATTTGGCATGACATTTCAAAATGTCTCACTTTCAGCATTTGATATGTTATCTATATTCTATTGTGAATAAAATATAAGTTTATGAGATTTGTAAATTATTCCATTCCTTTTTTACTCACAATTTGTACAGTGTCCCAACTTTTTTGGAATTGGGTTTGTATTAAGACTCCTGAGCTATTAAAGAGCATGCTAAATGATAAAAGAGAGGAAATGAATTAATCTTAAAAGTTTCATTTTTTTTAAAAAATAATGACTAAAATGTTTTTATATTGCTAGTAAACACTGTATACATTTGGTTTTTACCATGACCATGTTCACATTACCTTCTTCGCTGGAATGAGCCGTGTCTGTTGTCATCTGTGTTCGGTGACGCACATGAGCACAGTTTGTCTTTGTTTCCAGGCTTGTGACCTTGTAAGAAGTCAAAAAGTTAGTTTTAGGTCTTTGTAACTTTACTTTGAGGATCATTGCAGAGCCTTGGACCTTTATCTGTGGTGACACTGTGGCATTTGCATGAATGGGGCCTTTTTGCGGAGTAGATTAATATGACACAGATTATTGCCTACTGACCCAGTCATCACGGTCTTCTTATTAGTCATGCCGGTAAATGCCACATTGTATCTGTCACCAAAATCATCGCAAATGGGTTCCTACGTGCTAGTCGAACAGCTGCAGTTGAGATAAATGGGAATGCTAACAGATAGCTCCAGGTATTATGATTATTTGGCCTACGTGCAGAAATCTATCCTGTCCTGTGTTTCCCCAGCAGACAGCCGTGAGAGTGTGCACACTGTGCTAGAAAACAGCAGAAACAGAGATTTATAGCGCGTTTTCAGCTCTTTGGAAACGCAGCACGGCTCCAACTGTCCTGCCAGCTGACTGTGAAAAACCTGAGCCATTGTTCAGTGCGTCAGTCTTAGATGAAGGCGTTTAGGAGTGATTCCATGCTTGCATGCACTTTTCCATACATTAGCCTTATTTCATCTTTAATCCATTGTACATCTCAGCAGTATTCTGGAATATTTTAAGCAACGTTTTTTTGCTGCATAGGCCATGAAATCACTTGTCCTTGAAAAGGGCTTTTTGGAGGTAATGTTGTACAGCTCAGTTCATAAAAGAGGGTTGTTAAAAGTGCGTTTAATTTCCTCTCGTCTTTCATAAATACAGATGGGAGTGTTTTGTCCAGGGATAACATGGACTGAATTTCAATTCAGTTCTCTTGTTGTCTATTAATTTGTTTCTTTTGTGTGTGTGTAACGTTGATTCAGAGCTGAAACATCCTTTTTTTTTGCACTGGGCAATAGCATGAATCCATACTATTTTTATATAAAAACAAAATCAAATAATAGTTATGCTTAATTGGATTTGGGAATTACAACATTATATTGCACAGTATGAATTAGAGTTACTGATTAGTTTTGTCCTTATAGTGGGACTATTATAGGACAGCTTTCTTAATGAGTTTAATATTTGCCATAGTCTATAGCTATTCATTTAAGCAGTTGACGACAGAAAAAGTCATCTAAAATCTAAAAATAGATGGAAACAAGCGTCTGTCAATAAATATCTGCCGATAAATGTTTAGGCAATGAAAAGGGCTTTTTGGAGGTAATGTTGTACAGCTCAGTTCATAAAAGAGGGTTGTTAAAAGTGCGTTTAATTTCCTCTCGTCTTTCATAAATACAGATGGGAGTGTTTTGTCCAGGGATAACATGGACTGAATTTCAATTCAGTTCTCTTGTTGTCTATTAATTTGTTTCTTTTGTGTGTGTGTAACGTTGATTCAGAGCTGAAACATCCTTTTTTTTTGCACTGGGCAATAGCATGAATCCATACTATTTTTATATAAAAACAAAATCAAATAATAGTTATGCTTAATTGGATTTGGGTATTACAACATTATATTGCACAGTATGAATTAGAGTTACTGATTAGTTTTGTCCTTATAGTGGGACTATTATAGGACAGCTTTCTTAATGAGTTTAATATTTGCCATAGTCTATAGCTATTCATTTAAGCAGTTGACGACAGAAAAAGTCATCTAAAATCTAAAAATAGATGGAAACAAGCGTCTGTCAATAAATATCTGCCGATAAATGTTTAGGCAATTTCATAAGAGCAAGAATGCTAGTAAATAGGCAGGAACCATCACCTTTGCCAGAATGTTTGCTTCTATACAGTACAAAAGGTCTTTAAACAATAAGTTAGTATTGAGGAACTTACATTATACACTCAAAATTGCCATACTTACAGAAATATTTCGAAGCAACAGCAGGATAAACCGCCCTGTGTCTCCAAGCAACATGGCGTTTCAGAATGAATCATCGTCTTTGAATGAATCATTTGAGCAAATGATTCAATGATTCAAATAAGGTCACCCGTTTCGTTTTTTAATGAATCAGTGTATTGAACGAATTGACTAAGGCTGTGTCCGAAATCGCCCCCTATACCCTCATTCACTATTCCCTACATTAGGTCACTAATTCAGTTCACTAGAAGGAGTGAATGAAAACGAGTAGTGAATTCGGAACACTGAGTGCACCGGAAGGAATGCCGCTTTTGCATAGTTTGTGCTAGTTTGCATAGTTTGAAACTAGCAAACTAACAGCTCCAGTAGTAAGATTAAAGGATTTATCTTGAACTCTGTCACAGAAATTATGTATAAACCCTAATCAAACAATTTAATAATCAATTTACAATTAATTTATACCCGTGTTGTACATTATGCTGTACGCCATGGATGAGCGCTTTGTTAAAATGAACGGATTGATTATTCAGCCATCTTGCACCGGAAGGAATGCCGCTTTTGCAGTTTGTGCTTGCTGTTTATTAATCATTTGAAACTAGCAAACTAGCAGCTCCAGTAGTAAGATTAAAGGATTTATCTTGAACTCTGTCACAGAAATTATGTATAAACCCTAATCAAACAATTTAATAATCAATTTACAATTAATTTATACCCGTGTTGTACATTATGCTGTACGCCATGGATGAGCGCTTTGTTAAAATGAACGGATTGATTATTCAGCCATCTTCTGGAAAGACGCGGGAATTCATTCGGCGCGTGACTCTCACGGTGCATTATGGGCATTCTCTAGCCGTTGAGCGTGCACCAGTTGTACACTCGTTTTTGCAGTGCATTGTGGGATTGAATGAGTGCACTCGAGAAAGTCCACTATGGTTTCGGACACCTCTAAAAATGGCTGTTCCCTCAAATAGTGCCCTATTTAAGGGTATAGGGGGCGATTTCGGACACAGCCTAAATGATTTTGACTCGCTGATAAAAATATTCGCTTGTTTTGTTCCTACATGAATTAGTGTTTTTGAACGAATCGATTGAGAGAATGATTCAGGGACTCATAAATTAGCGTTTTTGAACAATGGGTTGAATAAACGGTTGACTGAAGAAGTCACTTATCGCCATCTGCTGGTATAACGATATAACTGGCAGAAAAAGTGTTATTTTGTACCATTGTAGTACCATGGCTTTTGCAGAGTTTGCACATGTACTTAGGCCTACACATTCAGCTCACATTCTTGGATTAATTTTTGACAGATACAGCAATGCTTATCAAAATAAATGACGTTATCTGTCTGTC